GTTCTTCTTTGTCTTGGAAGCAGCTTGTTTCTCCATTAATTTCTAGAGACAGATTTTCAGGGTACATCAATCTGGGCTGGAGGTTATTTTCTTTCAAAGCTTGGAATATTTCACTCCAGGGTGTTCTTGACTTGATGGTTTGTGTTGAGATGTCTTCCATGGTTCTGATGGATCTTCCTTTATAGGTGGTCTGTTTCTGTCTCTAAGAGCTTTCAATATTCTGTTCTTATATTGAATTTCTGGAATCTTGATTATTGTATGCCGGGGTGTGGCTCTGTTTTGGTTGTAGGTGGCTGGAGTTCTGTATGCCTCATACATCTGCATATCATTTCCTTTTCCTATGTTTGGGAAGTTTTCCTTAATTATGTGAATAGCCTTTGTAGATCCTTTGTTTGTATCCCTGCTTCTTCATTCACATTCTTTAGTCTCAAATTATTGATTTTCTTGTCGTCTTCTAGCAGTTGTATGGTTACTGCTTGTTCCCTTGTTATTTTAAAAAAGTTTTTACTTTCATAATCCCACATTGCAAAACTGTCCTCCAGTTTGGATAATCTATCCTCAGTTTCTTTCAAGCAGTTTTGCCCTCTTTTCGTAGAGTTTTTAATTTCTTCTCTGAAATTATCCCCTCCATATCAGTCAACCTGCTGAGGCCTTCACTGTATTAGTATGTGCCGCCTCTCCTCCGGGTCAGTCAACCTGCTGAGGCCTTCACTGTATTAGCCTGTGCTGCCACTGTAGGGAATTGATTTCGGATAACCTATTGGGTCTCAGCCCAGGTCACATGACCCAGGCCAAGCTCACTCTACCAATCCTGTTCGGGAAGGGAACAACTGACTGAAGTCACTGCTGCCCCTTGTTCCTGCCATACCTGCTCAGTCCCATAAAGTCATCTGTTGAAGCCCCCTTCTCTGTGCAACGGTTCTATTCCCATCACACACTACAGGTTGATGGAGGTTCCCCTCTAGCTCAGCTCTCTTGTTCAGCTTGCCGACCCCTGACCTCAGTGTGACTGTGTTTTCAGTGAGTCAAAGCGGTGGGATTTCAGAAGGCTCAGTAAGTCATCACCGCTCAGGTTCGGGTGCTGCAGTGGAGCACTGAACCATTAGCTGTTCCAATAGTAGCACTGTATGTTTGATTGGTTCTTCTCATCTTAGTTTCTTCTTGGGACAAGAAAATTTATCTCCCTCTGTTCGGGACTTCCACAGTGTATTATGTTGAATTCTAAGTTGACTATCTCAGGGAGCCTCTGTAGCCTGCTGTTATCTACCCGCCGTCTTTGCTTGGGACCTCCGTACTACTAATAATAAAGATTTTTTAAAAACTTTTTCTGACTCTAGTGCTCTGTCACTTTCTTTCAATCTTTGATTTCTACTTTGATTTCTCCTCTTGAGGCTGCTTCTTTTTTCCATGTTGAATCAATAAACTGAACACCAACTTGACTATATCCTCTTTCTGCTGCCCAGTTTTACTTAATTAAGGCTGTGATTGTTGTAAGCTTAATGGAACATTTGGGAGAAAGGTAAGAAAAAGATTGCAGTGTGAATGAGTATGGTCATAAATGCCTGTAATCCCAGCACTCTGGAAGGCTAAGGCAGAAGTATCAAAAGTTTGAGCCCAGCTCTGAAAATTTAGGGTCTTAGTGAAAACCTGCCTCAAAAAATGTGGGTTAAATCCTCAGTACTGAAACAAACACACAAGCAAACAACAACAAAACACACACAAAGAAAAAAAGATTGTAAAACAGCATGCACAGGAAACACCTTTAAATTATCTATTAGCTATCTCTAGTTTTAAAGGTAATTTTGCATTTGTACTACTGGGAAATTCTGTTTCTCGTGTCTCTGCGCCTCCAGCTTCCTGCTCCATTGCTAACCAGCTTTAAATCTGACCTCCCTCATCTCCTTCTAGATAGTGTTACCCTCCCCGACCTCAAGGCTCTATTCCCTTTCTTTATAGAACTGTTTATAAAAGCAGGGCTTATAAAAGAAGGGTATTTTTCAAACCAAACTCCCCTTAAGGTACATTTCTTGCCAGTAAAGGCAGTTATTTCCAGAAACCAATTCTACAGTCATCAGCTATTCTTTCTTCTTCTTCTAACATTAGGTAGCAATGTAGGAATTACGACTTTAGAATTTATCTGAGATGAAAGAGATTAGCAGAGAGTAAAGATTTGGAAGAATAATTAAACGTAATAATATTCAACCATTTTCTGTTATGGCTAAAGAAACAGGCTTAGAGAGTTTGGGAGCCTTGCTGGATGTTTAACAGCACTTTGAAGCAGCAGTTAGATATGTGGAGTGTCATCCATGGCAAGTTTGCATGACCTCATGAGTTTCTCAGAGAACAAACAGCATTTCAACTCTGTGCATTTAATCCTTAACTGTTTGCCAGCAAAGGTCTCACAGGAAAGGATCCAGGAATAAAGCAGGGAAAACATGCAGCTATTGTATAGCTAAATCATGTTATCCAGATACTCTAGTATGTTCATTACTCATATTTTAGTTCTATTTTAACCATAACTAATATATTATTAATTTTCTAATTTCTAGGCATGGTGTTGATATTACAGGACGCAGTTTTTACATGCCTTTATTAAAATCTTTTGAAGCCTCCGTCAGAGACAAAATGTTAGACTGCAGTCATCTTCTGATCCAGAAAAAATTCAATTGGCTAAATTTCTCTTGTTCCTAGACAAATCAAGGTGTGAGAGAGACTGCGTGAGGGAAACCAAGAGGGAACGTGACAAGGAGATGGGCGTAGGACATGAAGATACAAATAGATTTATTATTGAAAGATTTATACACAAATGTTAATCTTATAAAAGTAGAAAAGAAATACTACTAGTAGAAATTAAATATGTTCATAATAAGTTGGATTTCTAGCATTTAGGCCTTAAATCTGATATGAGGGATATGGTCAAAAAGTTTACAAGTGTTAAAACTATGAGTAACATATCTAAGAGTTAAGTTTTAACTGCAATGACTAACTGAAGGATGCTTACAAGATAAAATGTATCCAAAGCATTCCTCTTCACAGAAGGAAAGGAAAGTATCTTTAACAGAACCCAGACTTTCAGCAACAAACATGGCTATAAACATTTGTCTAGTAAACAGGACCCAGTAAATGCTCTTATGAGAACAGGTCTTTGAAGTTTGAAACATTTATTTAGAACTTCCAGTCTTTTGTCTCTCCTCCCACTGAAGGATCACAAAAGTAAATTCTCCTCATTCCCTCTGTCTGTTATCCTGCCAAAAATACACACTTAGTGATAAAGCTCACTAGTGATTCGTTACATACCACCAACCAAAGGTTTTCAGTATAAGTGCCATTTTAAATGAGCCTCTTTTGTTTTATTAATGCTTAACGGACATATAATGGTAATGATGGTGCCAAATGATTCTTACCATCCCATCCCTTTAAAATCCAGATGTCTCTGCATGGCCAGGAGCAAAGGCACCAGCCCCCTGCGGTTTTTCCTGCATTCTCATTTCTTTAGCAACTTGCTGAGCTGGGATTCTTTTGACAGCACATTTCCCCCTTCCTCTAAAGGTTAATTTCATTCTTTTCTTATATTCCTTCACTCTTTATCTATGAAAAGAAGAATAAAGAAAGAAAAAGACAAACAGGGAGGACATTCTGAAGAATTAGAGTTTAGGTTGAGGATGTATTCTTATTTTACATGTGTTAATATCAAATAAATACATTAAAATGATACATGTTTTAATGTTTGGTATTTTACATTTAAGTATCCCATGTGGTCCTTTTTTGAAGCCCTAGTCTTTCCTAGAGCCTACAGCCAAATCATTAAATAATTCATCTACCAACCAGTATATGGAGTCAACAGTGATTGCTACAAGTCTTGGCCCTTATCGGTGAACATGTACAATGGCACCTTGCTCAGCTTGAGTTTGTTCTTTGATTTGCACTCCTTCTTTTTTGAGATATCTGTAGGAAGGAGCCAGCCGGGGCTTGCTGTAGGGGGCATCTGGCTGTTATGATGTTATGATCCGGCTTTCTTCGAATGTATCCAAATTGTATCCAGAAGTAGAACTGCCGGTTCTGAGGTGAGAGAATTGGGACTGTAAAAACCAGCCAAACAACTGGGCAGAATCTGTCAGTAAAGTCAGGGAGGTGAAAGCATTCCTGCAGTTCCTGAGTACTGTACCTGGAAGCAATCAGGAAAGGGTCATTTTCAATTTTCATTTATATCTGGTGTCAAGCCAAGTGAATCTTTCAATAGGACAGCTTTAATCAATAGGACACCTTACAACTCATTCCAGGCCAAATGAGTATTTGATAGGACAGCTATCCTAATGTCTTGTTTACAAGAGGCAGAGGCAGAGTCAGGAACTCTACAGTCAGAAGATCCCTTTCCCCTATCCTCATGGCTGATGTGAATGTATTCACTGGCTCACTCTCACTCTGCAGAGAGTACCTCTTTCCCACCTTCAGTAAGCTCTGCAGGGCTTGTTCAGGATACCAAGAACCTGAGAATTCCCGAGAGATCTACTATCTGATAACACTCTTGTTGAACCAGCCAGAAGATAAGGCTGCCTTGGGGAAATTTATTTTTTCTTTTCGTTTCTTCTCTTTCCTGTTTGTTCATTCCTTCTTTCTTTTCTCATTTCTTTTCTTCTTTCTTTCTTTCTTTCTTTCTTTCTTTCTTTCTTTCTTTCTTCTCTCTCTACCTCCCCTCTCTCTTCCTACCTCCCTCTCTCCTTCTCCCCCTCTCTACCTCCCTCCCTCCCTCCTTGTGTCCCGCCCTCTCTCCCTCTCTCTGTCTCTCCCTCTCCCCCCTCCTCCTTCTCGCTTGCTGGCTTGCTCTCTGGCTGCCAAAGACGGAAGGCAATTGGAGGAGGCAGATTAGGGGCCTTGAAACTCAAGGAATGGACCGGTGAGCTAAGGGTCAACCAAGGAGAGAGCCTGCTGATTGGGTGATGCAGAAGGAGACAGCCCGAAGTGGGGTGTGGATTGGTCAAAACTGGCCGAGGAGGCGTGGCCAGCGGGCGAGGGATGGGCGGCTGGCTTGCCTGCCAGCCAGTCAAGGCCGCGGGGGAGCATGGCGGGCTGGGGTTCAACCCGGGAGCACGGTGCATGAGTCATGTTCTCCGGTCTGCAGCCTAACACCGGCTTCCTTCTCTCCCTTCCTCTGTGCTCCCGCCTGGGTTCTGGGGGCGGGGGTGGAGGGAAGGGAGAAGGACGAGGCAGTGAAGGCGGGGTGAAGGGCAGAGGGGTCCCTGCACACAGCGAGGCGCGCTGCCTCACACTCTCTCTCTCTCTCTCCCCGCCGGGTGCCTCGGCCCGGGGCGCGCTGGGCTCTGGCTGCCCGCCTTATGCAGGCGGACTACTGGCCGCCGCGATTGCAGGCCGGGTGGTGCTGAGAGCCGGGCGCTGCCCGCAGTGTCCCCGAGTCCGGCCCGCTGCCCCCGCCCGGGCCACACTCCCCCTCTCCCGCCTCCACTCGTGGCCCCAACCCCTCCTCCACGCCCTCCTCTTCCTGCTTGGCCTCCTCCTCTGTGCCTCTGTTCCTCCTGTTCTTATCCTGCTCCTGCTGCTAGAGGACACCAGAGCCCAGCAAGGTGAGTGTTCCCCGGGCAGGGCGCCGGGGAGGTGTGGGGCAGATCGTACGTGGGCAAACCTGGGGGACGCTCGCGGGTGGGGTTGCAAAGGTGGTCTCGCCCTGCTGACCCTCAGGTTGGCACGGTTTTGGGTTTTGGCCAGACCAGTCATTTGTCTGGGAAGAGGATACCTGACACCTAGCAATGGAAGCCTCCATCCTTTTTTTTTTTTTTTTTTTTTTTTTTAACCAAAATCAGTTTAAAATAGAATATATTACCTTGATGTTCATTCCAACTAATTCCGTGTACAGTTAGAACAAAGTATATTACCTTCATTCTATTTAATGCCTTATTTTGAAGTTCCTCAGCAGAATTTCTGCTGACAGTGATTTTTCTTATTTGTTAAATTTATCATTGGTTTGGAAACTTGTTGACCATTCACAAACAGTGATGCGTTTTAACCATTCTTCTTCCTAGTTTATAGATTCTGCATATTTTATACGTATTTAATATTAGTGTTTTGGTTTGGTTAAATGTGTATTTTTTGAGTTCTAAATTTGACATTAGTCTTCAAAATGTTTTTTTGTTTTGAAAAAAAATTTTTCCTGTAAATGAATACTTTCTAGTGCTTGAGATTAAACCTAGAGCCTTGTACTAGCTGGGTAAATGCTCTCTGCCATTTAACTACATTCTCAGCCCTTTTAATTTTGATTTTGAAAGGGTTCTTGTTAAGTTAGCAGACTTTCCTCCAGTTCCTTCTGCTTCAACCTCCTAGGTAGCTGGGCTTACAAGTAATTGCCCCTACACCCTGTTTATACATCTTTCTAAAAATCTTATGCTAATTGCATATTTACTAATGTAATATATTAAAAAGATAGTTGACCTGTTACTGAATTTATGTCTCTTGTACATTTATGGCTAGGAGTTTAGATTACTTCATTTTAGGAATGCAGTTTTCCTAATTTTTCATAGATTGCATGCCTGCCTTCTGGGTTAGAATATGACTTGATTGTGGTGACATGCCTAGAAATCAATTTTAAAAACACGTTGAGACCGATTTGTTTATACCTATTATAATGTGGAAAGGTATTGATTTTTGTTTGTTAATTTAACAAATCTGTGAAACAAATGAGGTTCATTCTTCAAAAAGAATAATTCAGTTCCACAATAATATTTGGAATTAATAGGTGAAAAAGTTTATAGAATATTAGATAATGCTTTTACTTACTGGTGATTAGGGAAATAATTTTTGAATGGCATTTGTGACTGTCAGAAGTGAAGAACTTAGTTCCTATCAGCAAAGAAATATTTGTAATTATTTCTAATATTGACATTAGATTTAGATTTTCTTAGTTTGATAAAATATAAAGATAAAATATGTAGTTTTGTTCAGAAGCAAAAATCATATCCTTTTTTGCTGTATTTCTGATTAATTTTGCACAGTGAAAATTAGAAAAAGTACACATATATGTACTAATTATCAGATATAAAGTTCACATTTTTGAAATTTACTAAAGAGAAAACAATTATACAACTAGAGGTAAAAATGATATTAGTTAGATTTCTCAATGTTACAATCAAAACGAAGACATTATTTCTCCGTAGAGGTGGTGATTGTTAATTTTGTATGAATAAGTGAGCTTCATTCTATAGGACCAAAAACCAAGGTGAAAAAAAAAAAAAAGGTTCGAAGGTGGTTAATTTGGTACACACTACCAGTACTGGAATTAAGATGACAGATTAATGGATTGATTACTGGAAGGATATAGTGAGATCATGTATGATGAGAGGAGATTAGATTTATATGAGGGTAGGTTTTTAAAACTTGAGGACTGTGCTCAGCAAGATGAGGACTCTGAGCTGTGGAAGGTCAGGTAGTTAAATTGAGCATTGATTGAATACATGTAAACAGACAATGTCTGCTTCCAGGTCTTGATTGGTTGGAGGGATATGGGATAATGACATGAGATTAGAAAGATTAGGAAAAGCTTCATAAATAACTTTTCCTAAAGTGTGATTGTTGAAATAGGAAATGAAAGGAGCAGGTGTTTTTCTTGAGTAGCTTTTAGTCAGCCATGTAACCACAGCATTTTGCATGTATTTCTAAACATTTTATAGATGATAATGATTGTGTAAAACTAAAACCTTAGAAAATTATACATAATTCTATCTCTTAATTTATCAACTTACAATTATTCTTTTATTCAGTATTGACATACCTACACGATCTTACATAATTCTGATTTTATTATCTTTTAATTTTTATATTATTGTTACATTTTAGATACATATAACATTCATCATAGGGAATTTGTACCTGGGTATGATGTATTTTGCTTCTTTTTTCCCGTCCCACCCAACTCCCTTTAAGCCTCTGTCCCCTTGTTTACCAAAACTTTATTTCCATTGTTTTCTTGTCACTTCTCCCCCCCCCCACACCCCTTGTTCGCCTTTTCATTTGAACATCTTCTTCCCCTTTTCCAGTATCTGTTACACATTTTGGTTTTTATTTACACTTTTGATTTCCACACTAAGTAAACCATGTAATGTTTGAACATGTGTGTCCAGTTTATTTCACTTAAGAATGTGATCTCAAGGTGCATCCATTTAGCTAGAAGTGCCTCAACTTACCTTTCTTAATGGAAGAACAGTATGCATTTTATTTTTAAAAAACCCCACATCTTCTTTATCGTTCATTGGTTAATGGGCATTTGGGTTGTTTTCAAGATTGAGCTGTTCCAAACTGTGCCATTGTCACCATGATTTTGCATGTGTTACTGTGGTTTTAATTCATTCAGGAAGATATCAAGAAGGAGAATTGCTGGGTCAAATAAAGTTGCATTTTGTTTTCCGTGGACTGTCCATACTGATTTCCACAGTGCCTCCCCCAGTCTGCACTCCCACCAACAGTGGGAAAGGGGGTCTTTTTGCCACAGCCCCACAGCGTTTGTTATTTGTTAATGTCTTGGTGATAGCCGTTCTTTCTGGGATGAGATGGACTCTTGGCATTGTTTTCATTTGTGTCTCTCAAATGACTAATGATGCTGAACATTTTTTTCTGCATTTATTTACTGTTTGTCCTTCATCTGAGAAGTCGCTCTTCATTTCAGGTGCCTATTTTTAAATTGAGTCTTTAAAATTTGGGGTGGCTCTGATTTGTTTTGAGTTCTTTATATATTTTAGATGTGAGTCCTTTGAGGAACAACCAGCAAGATTTTTTTTCCCAAACTGTGGGTTGTTTCTTTACTCTGTTGGTGCTTTCTTTTGCTATGCAACAGGTTTTTTTTTCATATGATGAGATCTCAGATGTAGATTTTTTGAGATATTCCCATGTGATTAGGCTTTTGTTCATAAAATCTTTGTCTAGCCCAGTGTCTTCAAGAATTTTACCAATTTTATCTTTAAGCAGATTTTTCTGTTTTAATATATAAATCTTTGACCTTTTTTGATTTTAGTTTATTTATTAATTTCATTGGTACTGGGGATTGAGCTCATGGCCGCCTGCTTGCAAGGCAGGGGCTTATGCTGCTGAACTAAATCCCCAGCCCTTGATTTTAGTTTAGTCCATGGTGAAAGATACAGGTCTAGTTTTAATCTTTGGCATGTATAAAACCAATTTTCCCAGCACCATTTATTAAAGAGGATACCTTCCAGTGAAGAGGTTTAGTTCCTTTGTCAAAGATAAGGCCGTGGCTGATTAGGAATTGTCTGCATCTTCCAACTTGTTCTGTTGAACATTGAGTCTGTTTTTTCCCCCCAGTATTGTGCTTTTATCACAGTACCTTTGCGGTATAATTTCATATCAGAGATTCTGATGCCTCCTGCCTTGCCTTTGTTGCAGAGAATTACGTGTTTGGTATTATAGCACTTTTCTGGTTCCAAGTGAAGTTGAATGTTTTCTGTAATTCTGTGAGATATACTATTAATATTTTGACTGGATATCATTAAATCTGTATAGTAATTTTGGGAATGTGACCATTTTCACTCTATTGGGTCTTTCTACCCATAAACAAGGGATATCTTCATTTCCTGATATCCTTATCAATCTCCTTTCAGAGAGTACGATAGTTTTCAGTGTAAAGTTCTTTTGCTTCTTTAGATTGAATCCTGGATATTTTAAATTTTTTTGGATGTAAAACTACCAGCACTTTGTTTTGGAGATTGGAGACCACAAATTCACAATTGATAGCTTTATATGTTTTCCTAAGGGATGAACAGAGGCTTGGGATTTTTGTTATCAGTCTTTTGAGATTTCCCATGATCTCATTAGGAGTGGCTGTTCTCCTACATCTGCTAAGATTAAGACTAAAACCAGTCAGACTAGGACTACTAAGGAGGCTGAGAGGCTCTAGGGCAAGTTCCTCAGTAGTTGAAGATCACCTCTGAGTCCTGTGATAATTCCTCAGTCAGTAAATGCCAAGGATCTGGCTGCCTTGTGGCCTTTTGTTCCTCATGAACAACTGGTCATCCTGGATCCCTTGTGTACTGCCAGTGCCTGGAAACAAGGAAACCATCCTTTGACTGTGGCATCTAACTGTTTAGAGAGATAGGCAATGGGTGCTGGGGTTAGCACTTTTGGTTATGTCAGAACCCTGCCTACCATCCTGTGGGCTTCTAAAGAGTAGAGATCGGGGCTGGGGGTTTAGCTCAGCGGCATAAGCACCTGCCTTGCAAGCAGGCGGTCGTGAGTTCGATTCCCGGTACCGATAAAAATGAAAAAGACAAAAAAAAAAAAAAAAAAAAAAAAAAAAAAAAAAAAAAAGAGTAGAGATCAAAGGGTCTATTGAGGTTAGGCAAAGCCAGGGTGGCAGTCTGCAGTAGTTTGGATCGGATGGTGGTGAATACTTGGTGGACAGCCTTTGGACTGGACATGGGTTCATCAGTCAGAATTGCCTGATAAAGGGGTTTGGCCAGCAGGGCAAAGTTAGCGATCCATAGCCTAAAGTAACTTGTTAGCCCCAGGAAGGGACTATACTTGACATTTTGTGTGTGGTACAAGCAGGGCACAAAGTGCTTTTTGC